AACAAAAAATCCATCTATTAGCTATTTTGTATTAGATGAAACAGTGTGTAAAGGGTCCACACTAGTTTATACCTTTCTTCTTTTCCCATTAATGTATTATGATGACACATGAGCATCTAACTAGCATCATCAGCACACATATTATAGCTTTGTGTTTTACCTGATTTCTGTTCATACTATTTTCCTCATCCAATGTTTTTTGCTATAACACGGTACATAATAGAGAAGGTACTGTCTTTGCTTCTTTTTCTGTTGCTGTGATAATATGCCTGGACAAAAGCAGGAACCAGGTGATTTTAATTTCAGCACTTGGGAGACTCGGAGGCAAAAGCTCGTGCATCTGTGAGTTCAGGGCCAATATAGTCTACCTAGTGAGTTGTATGTTCTGCAGTGAGACCCTGTCCAAAAAAAGACAACTGAAAGGCGAAAGAGTTTATTCTGACTGACAGTTGTTAATGGATAGAGTCCATCCTGGAAACACATAGTATCAGAGACAGTAGTTGACTGGTCAGGTTACATTTATATTCAGGAAGCAGGGAGTAAACAGAAATTGGTCCAGAATGTAAAGCTTCACGGCACTCCCCAACTCCCTCCATCAAGTTATGCCTCCTAAAGGTTCTTACAACTTTTGTAAACAAGGCTATCCACTGGAGACCAAGCGTTCAAACATGTGAACCTATGGGGGGGGGCATCTAGAATGGACATTGTAGACTAACTGATGGGTAGTCCCAATAACTGCTCCTTCTACAAAAAAAAAGGAATAAATGAAGAAAGAAGAAAATGAAAGAGAACAGAACAAAATGAGGGTATGTGCTTTGTAGTGGTACTGACAACATTTGTATTCCAACCTTCTCAACAATCCTTTTGTCTATGTCATCATTTTCATTAACAAATTGAAATAGAATAAGGAGGGGCAAGCAGAGTTGTGAGCTCACAGCTAAAATGTGTTATCCAAGAAATATTTGACCTACGTCTAAACCATTTGACTTTGCATTGAACTCAAACTTGGTGTCCTTAGTCTGGCTGTCATTTATTTAAAATTCCATTCATTGTTTTTCAATTTAGAAATATGCAGACATAAAATTTTACGTGCCTCACCTCATATTTTCTTCTATATATCTGTGGACTAAAATGAGCTGAATTAGCAATTAACTTATTCTTAAATTGGAGTGAGGACAGCTTTCATTTCGAATGACCAGAAATAAAAACTGTGGAATGAGATAAATGGGAAATTTCTGTCTTTGAGTAAATAAGCCATGGTGCCTGTTTTCTCTACATGAAACTTAGTTCTCTGGATGGGTTTCACAGGTTAGTTTGTTGTTTTTTGTTTTGTTTTTAAATTTATTTATTTATTTTACATCCTGGTCACAGTTTCCCTCCCTCCTTTCCTCCCAGTCCCTGTCTCCACCCCCCTTTTGTTCCCACCCCACACTCCTGCATTTCTGTTTAGGAGAGGGCAGGTCTCCCATGAGTATCAACAAAACACTGCATATCAAGTTGAAGTAAGATTAAGCACCTTCTCAGGTGGTAAGGGTGGGCAATGTGACCAAGTATGAGAAATAGGGTTCCAGGCTAGGTTTTAAATCACACTCACTCTATGGGACATTTGTATAAAGAGTTGTCATCATTCAGAGCTACAGTTTCATCTAGAGAAATGTGTTATCCTACACTTTGGGTGTAGTTTTCCACCAAGGCAGCTGATAGCTTAGCAATTAACACTGGCTGCTCTTGCAGAGGACCTGGGCTTGATTCCCAGTGTCCACATGGATGCTCACAACCATCTGTAACTCCGGTTCCTGGGGATCTGATGTCCTCTTGTGGCCTCTATGCGCACCAGACATATACATACATGCAGACAAAATACTCAGATAAAATACTTTGTGAAAGACAACTGCACGGGTTGGCTTCTGTTCACTTGATTTCTCCCGTTTCTCAGCCTCCACCTCTTTCCCACTGATGGTTGGCCTCCTCCCAGGTTTCCATCATGTTACAGAAGTCTCTACTTTCTACTTACCCACTTTTCCTTGTGCATGAAAGTTTGCTGAAAATTTGAGGCTATTTAAGCATTCTGGATGCTTTAATTTTACCTCCAATGTCTCTGCAGAGCCTTCTTTCTGAATATGTGGGATTTCCATAGGAGGAATTCTAGTGTATAGGATATTTAAAAAAATACACACATGTATATATGCATATATGGTACTGTAATTGAATGTCTGTCTATAAGAATTTGACCCAGAACATGGTTTAAACCCCACAATGCTTAGACTATTTTGAATTAATGAAACTGGAAGTTAAAAATAATAAGTCTATAATCCTTTTTAGTTCCCTTTCTCTCAAACATTTTCCCTGCATGACACTGGTCAGTCATCATCATCTACATGAGGGATCAGCTTATCCATCATTCTTCACTTGGATACCCCAGGCCTCTAGTCCCAATATTCCATGCTTCATGGTTATCAGTGCTTTGACATGCAACAGCCAGTAGATTCCTATCACAGTGGTCTCCTTGAAGACAGGAGTTTGAATAGGCACACTGTTGTCTCCTTGGGGATAGCTTAGGATAGGACATGGAACAAAACAATTTAATTAGGAAATGACTAATACAGGTTTAAGTCTTTATCAATCAGGATTTTCAATTTTATGCTATAATAAAGTTACAAGTCTCAGTTGCTTTGGCAACTACTTTCTATTCACTATGTGTATCCATCTGAGTTGAGAAGGGAGAAGGAAGGTCCTCTTCATTGTGGTCCCTTAGTGATCTGATCTAGGCTGACAGTACAGCTTGTCCCTATTCCAGAGGCAAAGAGAGATCTGGAGGGTATTTCTCCAAACATTAAAACTCCAGTACCAGTGTGATTACACCTGTCTTCATTGACCAAAGCTTTAAACCCTAACCAACCCAAAGTGTACCTGCTATCAATCCTTCCACGGTCAGAAGATGTAAAGCCACAGCTTCTCTGAAAGGCATGAGAGTCACTTTAGTTTAAGTTGAAATAAATCTCAGTGTTTATTGAAGCCGGGGAGATGGCTTAGTGAGTAAAAACACTTGCTACACAAGGATGAGGACTGTGTTCAAATTCCCATCATCCATATCAAAAGCCATTATGCCTATAACCCAGAGGCAGAGACAGAAGGATTGTCAGGGCTTGCTGGCCACCAACCTATCTCCAGGTTTGATGAACCCCTGTCTAGGGAAAAAAAAAGGGCAGAGTGACAGAGCAAAACAGTTTATATCCTTTGGCCTTTGTGCACACACAGGTACCACATATACCTATACCATTTGCAAACCAAAGTCAGAAATCCCAAAAATCATGGGGCAAAAACTCTCTTGAGTACCTTAGTGTTTCAAATGTCTAGAATAATAATGTCTCTACAATAAATGACTAATAAATTTTGGAACTGCCTTACTGTAAAACAAGTGAAATACAAAGGCAGAGTTTAAAATTACTTTTTCCTGAATTCCTTTATTGGAATATTGAAGAGCTAGGCTCTTGTGCAGAGCATTTGAGCGGGAATCCATTCTGCCACTTTGTGCTCTGTTACCTTGAAAGAGCTCTTTTCACTTTCTTAGCTTCCCTCCATGCTCCTCATCTGTGAGATGGAGATAATGGCAATACCTGTCCTACTGGGTTAGTGAAACACTTTAGATTATTGCCCTACAAGATAGAATTCAGAGTAGTGCAAGCACATGGGGAAGGTCCAGTGAACTCTGGCTCCTGCTCCTGTGGCTGCTTCTATTTTTGTCTTGATTTTGCAGCATGAGAATAAACTTTCTATAGACACCCGTTAATTAAGATGATAGAAATGAGCCACAGAAATGAGTCACATGAACCCAAACTACATACTTGTCATTATTAACTCATTTGATTATTATTTTGAAATTTTTGTTTGTGGAGAGAGGCATGTGTGTATCCGTGTGTGTGTGTGTGTGTGTGTGTGTGTGTGTCCGTGTGTCCGTGTGTCCGTGTGTGTGTGTGTGTGTGTGTGTGTGTGATCATTGAAAGAACAGTGGGAAAGACTGGTGAGGCACCAAGAGGGTCTCATTCTTCCACTTTGTAGAGCACAGGAAAGAAAAATTTTCCTCAAAGATGCACCCCAGCATCTAGCCTTCTTTATAAAACCCACAAAAGGCAAAGGTATTCTCAGAAACTTTGAAGTTTTCAAGGTAAGAAAATTATGAGAACCATCTCAGCTCTGGAAATAATGTAGAGGACTTAGGGTGGTGACCTTTGACAGTAGGGACCTTACTGGTCTTTCTTTTAGCTTTATCAAAAGCATCTAGCACATAGTAGGTGTGGTGTAAGTGACTTGTGAAGCAATTGAATGAGTATTTCAGAGACTTATCACGAGCACAGCCTATAAAAGAAAAGTAGGTCATCTCCCATGTGTCTGAAGTTTAAATACAATCATAGTATATTTCCAGGGAAGCTGGGGTTCACACCATAGTACTCAGGATGCTACTGAACTTCTGTGTGTTTTCCCTTTCCATCTAGCATGCTATTTACAGAGAGCAAAAATACTTTCACAAAGAAGCTTGAGCATATTTCTTCATTATAACTCAGTCTTTGGTGCCAACAATGATATATTTCTACTTATTAAACATGTTAAATAACTCCAAAGATTTTTATTTGACTTAGGAACACAAACATCAGTTATATTCCAGATAAATGGTATTCTGAGATTTAGCTGACAAAACAACTAACAGAAAAAAAATCAGGTTAAGTCTAAGAGTATATTTGGTTAACTTGTTGGCAAAAAAAAACATTCAGGGGTAAGACCTGGTGTGTGTTTCATGTTTCCATTTACAGTTCCAAGCCTAACAGTCATTAACACTATCAATATTTTGCATGATGCTTCCTTCTCTTTCATTTTTTTCCCTTCTCAGTGTCCTGGCATGAGAATGGTATGAGACAAAACCTTCCCCCACAAACCATCAGGTACTAGTGTGTTAAAGCGCTGCTTGAGTCGTGGGAGAGTTAAGGGCAGTTATTACAATGTACGGTATCTTAATAGAGGGTAATGTCACTTTAAGACATGTGAGACTTTAGAGAGGAAGGGTGTACTGAAACAGACTCCCGCTCCTTACAGGAGGTATAGCAGCCCTGCTCTTACATTTCGCTGCCTAACTCTGTCCTGAATGCGCCGGAGTGGGGATGGTCTGTTGGTGGCTATAAACTGCTTCTCATCGGGGGAAACTACATTAGCTCACCATCACTTCAAAGGTCTCGTCAGACAGAGGTGACGCCAGGAGATGATTTAAAGGTGAAAATGACAAGGTTTCCACCCCTCAAACCCTGGTTCCTTTTCTGACAATACAGTGAACGAACCCAACGTCTTCTTAACTGTGGAAATAGGATTGGAAGAGGAAATCCTTTTTTTTCCTTTTTAAATTCTTGATAAAGAACTGCTGGGAAGCATTCTCTTTGAATATCTCAGGATTTGTGGCACAGATGGATTTTAAAAAGTATTAGCTCTTTCCAATGAACACTAGGAGAGTGCCTTGCTCTTGGCTGGATTTTTCAGGTAAGAAAGCCTCTGTCAAGATTTAAGATTCAGAAAGCAGATTTGAAACATATTCAGAGAAGTATGCTAGACTGGATGCATTATTTGAGGGGAAACACTTACTGCCGCTGAGCGGAGCAGAGCTCTGTCGGAGAGCGAGCAAGCAGGGAAAGAGATATTTAGGAGCCTGGGAAGTAATGCTGGGAATTAAAGAAAGTTATCAGGAAAAAAGAAAGAAAAAGGGAAGTGCTGGGATTGTCACGTTAGAGCATCTTTCTGCCTGCAGAGGTCTATGTGGGTTAAAAATGAGCAAGAGACAGCCGAGCTCTGAGGAATTGTTAAATTCTGATGATGGTTGGATTTTTTTTTCTGAGTTAAATTTCCAATACATTTTAACAGTGATTGACAACACAGCAAATGCGTGCCAGGTCACCTCTGTTTTGTCTTTCTGTAATTTGCAGGCTGTTCTGAAAGGCTCTAAAATGCACTCACTTGGGGATTCTCAGGAGGGGAGTTGTTATTTATCCCTGCTAATGAGAATGCATCTATGCTGTCCTGCTAGCTCTGAAAACTAGGAGGCAAAGCATGCAGTATACAGAAGTAAACAGTGGGCCACCAAACTAGAAACTAATTAGAAAGTGAGTGGTCTGGCGAGTCCCTGCCTGGGGCATTGATGGCTCCATGTGGTAGAAAAGACCGCTTTCCCACTTCGCACTTAATTACCGTTGTCGCGTTTTATCTATTGTTATCCTCAAAGCCCTTCTCAAACACTCCATTTCTTTAAAACCTGCAAACTACCCAGAATTATAGACATATATAAGCGTGTGTGTATAATGTTTATTTTTGCTGCACATCACTTGTTTTGAAAGAGTACCAAATTCCACAGATAAGGAAAGCATACTGGGAGGTCAGGAGCAGGGTTTCAATATTTAGTGGAAATTCCTGAAGGGTGTCATTTGAAAGAGGGAAAGAGGAAAACACAACCTTGGTTGCACAAACCCTCTCTGAGCTCTCCAAGAGAAAGGCACGTTGCTAACTGAATTCTTGTATAGAAGATGCCTCCTATCACTGGCTGACTAAGGGAGATGCTTCAAGTTTGATTAATTTGGCAATATGAAATGCAGCATAAGGTGTTGTTTGGGAAATTGGACAATATGTAGCGCCCTTGAGCTTCCGTAGTTCCTGAGATGCTTGCTTGGTGGTACAGATAAGATTGTCAAAGTTTCAGGGCCTGAGAAAAGGTATGTGCTCACTCATAAATACACACACCACCTGTATATGCATATTCATCAATGCTCTGGAAAATGCCACAGTGGGGTCTCAGGAGGCACAATAATACTGTAAATTATGGCTTGCTGGAGGATAGATGTGTAGACCTTGCATCTTAAACTTACTCTGGCTGAAGACACACTTCCTTCCGATTTCAAGTCCAGTCAGAAAGATGAGTTCTGTAGGGAGATTACAGCATGCCTCTGAGAAATGATTACTTAGTTTAGAGGACAGCATTGCCATTAAAAATTCATGACTGTGGAATTAAAGGGGAAAAAAGAGCCCACTCTTTTCTTCCAGGCTTATGTCAGACTTGCAATGAAGTTAGAATGAACAAGTCTGCAGCTTCTGAATGCATGGGAAAACTAGTTTGCAGCTCTTTGTGTAAAACTGGATGTTTTCATGGGCATCAAATGGTTTCGTCTGCCTCATTGATAGTCAAAAACTTTATTTTTGCGTCTTAGGCAATCATTGGCCTTTTGTTTTCCAGACCTTAAGGGACCTATTTATGAGCTTCTGGAAAGGGTCTTCAATCCCACTCCCTGGCATGACTTCTGCTGGAAAGATCCTTCTAGCCTGCCAAGTAGCAAAAGAACACTACTTCTGATCTCTCCCTCCCCTCCTCCGTGGGACGGACTGCACTGGGGGCTGCAAGCAGGAGGTAACCTGTTCTTGTCTCATGTTCTCTTTAGAGAATGGCAATGGTCTCTGCGATGTCCTGGGTCCTGTACTTGTGGATAAGTGCTTGCGCCATGCTACTCTGCCATGGATCCCTCCAGCATACCTTCCAGCAGCACCACCTGCACAGACCAGGTAAGTGTGTGTGTGTGTGTGTGTGTGTGTGTGTGTGTGTGTGTGTGGTAGGTGCTCCACAGCAGGCTCCTCCAGGCTCACCGTGGTCTCTTCAACAGATGGTGGAACGCAAGTGACAGAAATTGCTATAGTGTGGGCAGTTTGCCTTTGAATTCTAAGACATGTTGTGGGCTGGATGCTCTGGGGGATGGAGAGTGTACCAAAAATGCCTTGGAGGTATTTCTGTTAATTTCTCGGAAAAGGCAGGTTTCTTTAAAGGAGTCATCAACCCTCCCACCCCCCCCGCACTCCCGCTATCCTCTTCTGCACACCTTGTTTAGGAGAGTGATTTGGTTTTTGGACAATAGCAAAAAATTCTCTAACTTTCAAGACTGGAGGATTTAGGGAGGAGGCATGAATTTGCTGGGTTGGGTTGTTACCTAGTGTAGATGCTCTCATTTCCATCTGTGTGGCTAAGGACTCCAGGGATGTGTTAATGACCAGACTGACTTTAGAAGTTGTCAATGAAAAAGAAAATGAAACAGCAACTTACTATGTCGTGTCTGGTTTAATTTGCGTCCAGTCTTCTCTCCCTTCCTTCCATCCATCACTTTTGGTTCCTCCAGTATGTTCGGTGCCCCCACCCTTTTTTCTTCCCTCTGTTGGCAGTTGCAGGAACAAGTTCATTCTGGCATGCTGTTTTTCAATTTTTTCTTTATTGGTTTAGTTTTCCTTTTAGTTCCGGGTGCAGTTTGCTTTCTTCGGGCTTTTAAGTCTTCCCTTGTCCCACTCTTCGATCCTAATTTTCCTTTCTTTGTCTCTCCAGCTTTTTCATACAAAGTCATCCCCAGTTCAATTGTCCTTAAAGCTTCCCGGTTGATTTACAGAAAGGTTTCCTCCCGTTTTCCCTGTGGCTGTGTTTAGCCTTTGTGTCTTTTCGCGGCACCCTCTACCTTCACCGTCCTTGGTGGGCCCCTCTGATGGGCAAGTACAACGATTGGGGACCAGTTGCACACCCAAGTCCCGACTCCTCAGTTTTGGAGTGCTGCTGCCCGCCCTCCCTCCAGCGCCCTCGCCCTCTCCGTATAGTTCCCGGGCTTCCTGCCATCCACAGTGCTTCTCCTTGCCGCTGCAGGTCCAGGTCCTTTAGGGCTGTCTTTCCTGGCTCCACAGCAGCCTTGATTGTGACCCTGCACTCATGCACTCATGTTTTTGCCTTCTTCAGTCCCTCTCTGGGTGCCTTTTGAAGCCTCCCAGGGTTCAGCCTCTAGGCTGGGGCAGACTGGATAGAGCTGCGAGGGTGCATGCCAGCTCATGCATGCAAGCACGCCTGCTGGGTCTGCTGCCCTCCGCTGCAGAGGAGGGCTGGGGGAGGAGGAAGCCAGCTGTCCCCGGTTCCCAGCCGCCTTCCTCCCTTCCATAAGCCAGGTCAGCAAGGGAGCAAGGGGGCGCTGGTGCCCCTGTGGGTGGGCATGGAAACCTCACCACAGAGGCTGCTGGTGCTGCTTGCCTGTGTTTTCTGTGTCCTGTGTGCAGACCCTGGCACGGGAAGTGCCAGATTTCTGCCAGAAGCTTCAGTGCCAACACGGAAGGAACACAATCGTGGATTTGGGGATCCCTGAGCTACTTCCAACTACTTAATCGCCAATATGTTCTGGCAAGAAAAGTCTTGGGCTTGTTACATAGTTATACAAATAACCTGGGAAATGTGGTTTCTCTGTAATACTCAACAATGAGGTAAAACAACCATCCAACCCAACAGTGCTGAGACTGTGTTCAGGGTTAATTCATATTGCTAGTTTAACCACTGTGTAAGTGGATATAGTTTACCCCCCTTTGCTCAGAGAATGGACACGGAAGTTTGGAGTGGCTGGGTGACAGTCTGGAACCCCCCCCCCCCAGAACGGCTGTCAATGAAGTTCATGGACATGTGATTCTACCACAAGAGGGGAAAATGTCCCCAAATAGACAAATTGTCTATACCAGGTAGCCTCTTGAGCAGCATCAGATATAATCTACGAAGACTTTAAGGTCAGATCAACGCACACACCCATTTAAACTGCAAGCCAGTTCTGGGAGGTGGCTGAAGCAGATGGTGGCTGGTAGTGGGGGCCAGGGACTGGTCAACATCTCTGTTACTAACTTTTCTGACATGAACTTGGACTTTCCATATCTGAACTAAATTCCCCATCAGGGCATGGCGGAATGATAATGGTGGGAATGACTTCCTAGGAAGTGAGAAGTGCTGGGTATAATATGAATTTCCCTCTAAATGTCAAGCACAGTCACCTCCTGTTTGAGGGACTGCAACCTGTAAGTCACAGATGTTGAATGAGTCAAATTTTACTGTTTGCTCTGCTAACAGATCCACTTGGCCAGGACAAAAGTTGTTGTCTGTGTTGTTTTCTAAGCATGCGATACATGGCTAGGAAATGCCTGTGACTACAACCTCTCTTACTTTATGCTGTGTGTGTAGTCATTAAAAAAAGAAAGAAAGAAAAAAGAGCTTGTATAGTTTGTAGGGAACTCTCACATGCAGCATGCCTATTCGCTTGTGGGAACTGGGGCTATCGTGTGTAACAAAGAAATCCATATCATCATAGGTCTTATTAAAATAGCATATTTTAAACATTGATTCTGCCTAAAATTAAACTCACTGCTCAAGTTCTTTCTTATATATTGTGGAGTTTGCTCATTATCAGCCAATGTTGAAATTATACCTTAAATATACCCAGGAACTTTGTTACCAACAAATCTGCCCCCAAATATCCACTCTTTGAGTCCTAGCTCCGCCTTATTGTGGAAAAGGAAGAACTATAAATGCTTCTTCTAGATGCAGAGGGATTTAAATTACGTTGATTTGGAAGTCCAGTGGGTCTGTGTAATGTGCTTATTCAACTTTCTTAAGATTGCTACAACAGCTGCAGAGATTAAAGTGATAGATCTTGGTCACAGAAATCTTCCACATTATTTCAGTCACTCTTTAATGTGTTCTTCTGTTTTGATTTTAAGAGTAAAAATATGTTTTTTTCTTTCAGATAAGTGTTGTGGCATTTTCCTTTGTGGGTCTTAAATCTTTAGGGACACTAATGAAATGTGTGTGAAAACAAAACAAAGAAAAAACTAACGGCCAGTTATCTGTGACAATCCATCCCTAAGTGAGCAAATAAATAAATAAATAGTTGGATAAATGAGCAAAAAAGGAAAAACATAATTTCATTCTCTCAAATCAGTGAAAATAAGCGACATGATAAGAAAGAATGAGACAGCAGCAGACCCCAGCCTTGCTACATTTGCCTAAGCTTGAAAAATCACCTCCTTCCCAAGGCAGAGCAGTGTACTTGGCGTGCATGCTAAGTATGTGGAAATGTGTAAAATGACAAATCTTTCACTAGGAGTGTGTGTGTGTGTGTGTGTGTGTGTGTGTGTGTGTGTGTGTCTGGGCTGTGTGTGAGAGAGAGGAGGGGGCTTTACAGCAACTCTCACCTGCTTAGGAATGGCATCCCCTCCCCCTCAGGCCAGCACCTCACAGGCAGCTTCTCCATCCCCTCCACAGCAAGATTGATGGTGTTCCGATTGCAAGCAGGCAATTTTAGTCTCTCAAGAAATAATCCACTACACTGACAGATGAGAGGAATTTGACGAGCCGTTCCCCTTGTTGAGATTGCGCCTCACCTGGATGGCACCAGCCAGCCTGGGCCCGTTAGGGGAAATGGTTAGAGATTTGGGCCAATTTCTGCTGTCATAACGTGAAATTGTGACAGTGTTTTTGTAAAGCCATGCATTTGTGATCTGTCTCCTCAACATAGTGGGTTTGTGCACAGACAGAATGAGAATATGTTAACTAGAAAACTGACTGATTTTAATGTATTCGCCTGCAGCCCCTAAGTACTTCCTATTTTTCATATTTATAGTATTAGGAATGCACCATTTATTTTCACTTACTCACTAGTTAGGAAGATTAAAACAGTCAATCAAATGAAACTGAAATTTAAAATTACATAAGTGAATAAATGTGCTATAGATTAACAGATTCATAATTTCAATAATTGAATATGGGAATAATTTTTATCTGGGGAAAGATGTAGGAAGTTACTATGACAACATGAAAAATGTTTGTGCCTCTCCCCCATACCAAACCTTTGTAAGGACAGTTAATTTTAAACACAGATTCAACAATGAAAACTCAGGTGTAATATCTCTTTGGTTTCTAGTAATTAGGACAGCCTGAGTTCTTCACACTCACCAGTGGGAGCAGGGGAGAAAAAGGATACATGGTCTGCCAAAGAGAAAGTAAGATTATGTTTTCTCCTAGTATAGATATATGAATTATGATGACAGTTTTAATGCTTGCTTTATTTGGGGCATGTGGGTGGATGTGTGTGTGTGTGTGTGTGTGTATGTATCTTTAAAACAATAAAATATGAGTCTTCTCAAAATTCTTTAGCTAGAAAAGGATCCCTCAGATTCTTTAGACAAATAAAACTATGTATCTATGAATCACATGAGACACGTTAGAAGTAAACAATGAATCATTTGTTCTTGAGTCAATATTATTTCATTGACATTGGAAATGATATATAAAATTTTTCTCTGAATAGAATATCTATGTAATTTATACTTGACAAGATTTAAGACTGTAGTAAGGTTACTGTGTATGTTAGAAGTCCTTGTTTGTAACTTTATTATATAGTGAACATCACCATCCATTTTAACATGAGGATTTGGGGTTAATCAATAAAAATTTGTACATAACTTACATTAATTTTTACCCTATCATTCAAAACAACATTTTTAGAAAACTGAATGGTGCTTTTCAATAAAGGGTTACTGAATAGTTTTAGTGTGTAATAACTAGTGGGCACAACTGTGGTTGCATATTTTCCTTTTAGGAATGCCTACTAGCTTGAAGTTGCTAAGTATAGTGGATTGGTGTTAGGATTGGAGAAGACAGGCTGTTATTTGGTGTAAGCTGGTGCCAGTGATAATGCATTGATCATCTGATGGTTGATATTGACCTCCAAGAGGTAGAATGCAGCTATGGACATCAAATTAAACCCCAAAATACCAGGGCCAGGTAAAGATATAACTACATATTTTCTGTCACTGCTATGAACTTGGAAAGAATGATGGAAATACCATACAAATGACTACTGATTTGAGCACAAGACTATGCCTTCAATTCATAGTTAAGAACAAGATGTTACACTACACAGCAAACTAAAGGATTTAGTAGTGTCACAAATGAACATTAGTTGACAATTACCAATTTCTTAAACTTCATAGGAGATGATGAGCTTTCAACTCGAAACACTGCAGAACATTTTAGTTTGAGTACACTGAAGCTGGTGAACCATTTCCCCACAGCATTGTATCTCTTAAAATGGGAAATGTATGCATTGATGCTTCCACTTCTAGATGCTAACCCCCAAGAAAAATGCTGGACATGTGTGAAAAGATTTATGTTGAGGTATAGTTATTGCAATAATGGTTATAATGGCAACAACAGAGTTTCAGCTCCATCAAAATGGGATTGATGAAATAAATTATGGCACACATCTAATCAGTGGCATTCAGTGTGGCCATTACAAAGGATGAATTATTTGGAAAACTCCTAAGATACTGATTGATGAAGAAAACAAGAAGCAGAATACTATTTTAAAATAATTTGAAAAAAATGAAAAACTATCAAACATCATGCAGTAATTGTGAAAGCTGAAGAAAATTCTTTTTTCCTTTTCTTTAAAATTTAAATTAGAAACAAGCTTGTTTTACATGTCAATCCCAGTTCCCTCTCCCTCCCCTCCTCTCCTACCCCCACTACCCTATCCCATACCCTTTCTGCTTCCCAGGGAGGGTGAGGCCTTCCATGGGACTCTTCAAAGTCTGTTATATCATTTGGAGCAGGGCCTAGGCCCTCTTCTATGTGTCTAGGCTGAGAGAGTATCCTTCTCTGTGGAGTGGGCTCCCAAAGTCCATTTGTGGCCTAGGGATAAATACTGATCCACTATTGGAGGCCCCATAGATTAACAAAC